ATTTTTAAATTGTGTTGTCTTTTTATATGTGGTGATTACAAAAGTTTTTAATTTTGGTGTTCAATTTATCTTTTGTCCCTTTTGCTTCAGGTGTTATATGTAAGAAATCATTGCCTAATCCAATATCATGCAGATTTACTCCTGCATTTTCTTCTAATGGTTTTATAGTTTTAGCTCTTGCATTTAGGTCTATGATCACTTTGGAATTAATTTTTTATATGGTATGAGGTACAGATTCAAGTTCATTCTTTTGCATGTGGGTATCTATTTGTCCCAGCACAATTTATTGAAGACCATTCTCTCCCCCCTTTGAATGGTTGGCACCCTGTTGATTGTCCATAAATGTAAGGGTGTATTTCTGAATTCCTAATTCTATCCCATTGATCTGTACAGTATTTTCATCCTTATGTCATTTCCACACTGTCCTGATTACTGTAGCTTTGCTGCAATAAGTTTTGAAATCAGGAAGTACAAGTTCTCCAACTTTGTTCTTTTTTTAAGATTGTTTTGGCTATTCTGTGTCCCTTGCATTTCCATATGGATCAGTTTATCAATTTCTATAAATCAGACAGCTGAAATTCCGATTGTGATTGCTTTGAATCTCTAAATCAGTTTGGGACATGCTATAAGATTTCTTTATAATTCTCCTGTGTTTATTTTAATTCCGGTTATACTGTTTTCCTATTGTGATTAGCTCTGAAACTCTGAAAAAAAAAATGGGTTATGTATTTATTTTGAGGAGTGACTAGGAAGTAAGGGACTGGGGAAACTGACCTATTAATAGCTAGTCTTGGGGGCCAGAGGACACAGATCTCAATAGATAGAGTATGCATAGGAGTAAAAAACAAGCCAAGTCCAGTGTAGACAGGCACTTGCTTTAGGAGTTCTGAGGTGTCTATAAGAGATATGGTATATCTATATTTTTTGACCTGGGATCTTATTCAGTTTTAAGGACCCTCTTTTTAGAAATGATATATTTATATATCAAAATTAGGTTCAGGGTATTGGAAGGGGTCCATGCAGTGAAGTTCCCTAAAGCTTGTTTCATTAGTATCAGAATAAATTCACCTCTGAGTATGTATGCATTAGCATTATGGCAAAATATTGGGTTGTCGGAAAAGTCATGACGTATTTTTTTCTGTTTTTCGTTGCAAAAATGTGTCATGACTTTTCCGACAACCCAATATTTAAGGCTTGAAATTTTGTAAATGGAGTTGGGATTTTAGGAACACAAAGTAGCTTCAGGAATGGTGGCCTTCAGCTGGGCCTTGAAAAGGGGCAGAGTTTAGAAAAGTATTCTGGAAAAGGATATTAGAGTTAAATCTTCCTATGATTCATTTTCACCAGGAAAATAAACCCTACCTTGTAAGTTATTAGGTTTAATTGTAATGTAAACTAAATACTTTTTGCAGTGTCTGGTATATAGTCATATAGTAAGTAGGTGCCCACTAGTAAAGTACTACCAGTGAAGAAAAGGACATGAAAAATATTTAGAATATAATACAAAGTGGTTTAAGAAGCAACAGGGAGTCCAGAGTGGACAACTGAACACTGGGAACAATGGACAAATGAGTTTAATTGGAAATGAGGCTTTTCTAAGATCAAGATAANTATTGGGGGATTGGGGAAGGGGAACAGCCAAGTTGTTGTCCTTCAATCTTAGTTGTGGAGGGCGCAGCTAGCTCAGCTCCAAGTCCAGTCACCATCCGGCTGCCCGTCAGCAGCTCAGGGCAGCTCAGCTCAATCAAGGTGCCGTGTTCAATCTTAGTTGCGGGTGGGCATAACCCACCATCCCATGCGGGAGTCGAACCAGCAGCCTTGTTGTTAAGAGCGCACGCTCTACCCACTGAGCCATCCTGCCACCTGTTGGCAGCTCAGAGGCAGCTCACTAACCCACGTGGGAATCAAACCGGCAACCCTGTTGCTCAGAGCTCACAGTCTAAACCAACTGAGCCACTGGGCTGGCCCCTTCATGCATTTCTTTACACCAGTGGTTCTCAGTGGGAGGCTATTTTGCTCTATGGTGGTGGGGGGAGGGACATTCGGCAATGCCTGCAGACATATTTGGTTGTCACAAAAGGGGTGCTATTGGCATCTTGTGGGTAGAGGCTAGGGATGCTGCTAAACATCCAACAATGCACAGGACAGCCCCCATAACCAAGAATTATTCGTCCCAAAATGTCAATCATGCAGAAGTTGAGAAATCCTATCT